CGAGACTTTTAGAGGCGCCATGGATATGGAGGTAGTGAAAGATGATGAGGTAGTGATCCACCATGATCCAAAGCTCCATACCTATGACGATCGACCATCTTCTCTACACGTCTGGTTTTACTTTGGAGGCCGGTGATGAGTGCGTTGAGGAGACTTGCATACACCTTCTACTTCTATACGAATAGTATATTTGTGTTTATCATCTCATGCAATTCGCATGTCTATTGATGTTAGGTTAGCTAGGGAATGAGTATTCAAATTCATTATCAAATAATCTTTTCAGTCCCTATTTATATAGTCAAATATTAATTAATTTATTTATCTATTTTTGTTAGTTGTTTGATAAAATGTATAATTTTTATTTTAAATTTTACATCTATAATCAAATAAATTGAATTAAAAATAATAGTTTTAATCAAATTTCGTAAAACGAACTTGATGATCATTTTATTAGGACGGAGCGTGTACTACTCAATTCATAAAAATAATAATGGGAGAAAGACCAAAGTAGGACCAAAACATTGAAAATATACCAAAATAGGACTTCCATGTTTTTATTCCCGAAATAGGACTACATTACCAAACATGGTCATATACATTACCAAAAAAACATAGTAATTTGCACATGTACACTGCCACATTACCACAATGCAAAGTCACACTACCACAGTGCAAAGTCCTATTCCGGGAAAAAAAAACATGGAAGTCCTATTTTGGTACTTTTCTCTATGTTTTAGTCCTATTTATGATGATTTCTAAATAATAATTTCTCCGTCTAAAAATTATCTTTCGTTTCAACTTTAAACGTAAATTAAGGAAAAGTATAAAAAAAGTGTGGATTTTCCATAATTGTCCTTGGATTATTTTAAAAAGTGAAATAATTTAGGTATGAATATTAATTAATAAGTAAAGGTAAGGGTAGTAAATTTGGTATAAAGAAAAAAGTACAGAGTACTTGTCAAAAAAAGAAAATGAAGTGTAAAGATAATTTATGGCGAAGAAATAAGAAAAATGGGAAGATATATAAATTGTGGATAAAGAGAGTATGGTCTTGTCGCATACTCCCTCCAATCCTAAAACTTTTCATGTTTTGATTTTTTAGTTTGACCTTTTTTTATCACAAATTAAACATAATCTAAATAAATAAATAAATGATATAGAAATTTGATATATCAAAACTAAATCCTAAGATGAAGCCAATTATATTAAATTTATATTATATGGAGTAATTAAATATACTTTTTTCATAATTTATGGTCAAAGAATGTCACTTTTTGACTAAAAAAGTCAAAACATGAAAGGTTTTAGGATCAGAAGAAATACGGAGTATAATTTTGCAAAATATTTGCTATAATTTTTACTATATATATTTTTATTTTACATCTACGATCGAATAAATAGAATTAAATATAAAATCGGTCTGGCGGTGGCGTGAAGAATTGGGTCTATGTAAATATTTTGCAAAAGAGAAATATCACTATTGATGGTGATTGGGGCATTATTTTTGTCACTAGTTGATGGTGGATCTGGCAGTGGAGAAATGCAAGGACGTTTGGTGGTTAGGAACCGGACGACACATAGAAACTCGATTGGATCAAAGAGGCACTTAGAGATACTAACAATGCTTTTATGAGAAAAATAAAATAAAAAAGAATAGAAAAGAAATGAAGAAAAAGAAAAGCATATAAAAAATACTTTTGTAAAATAGAGAAAATTTAGTCCTGAAGGAAATTTGCTGCACATCGATCCAAAAAGTTGTTATGAATATATAATTAACTAAAAATTTAAAGGACATTACTCTATATTCTTTTGGTCCCAACAGATTCAGAAAAAATAAGGAATTTTTTAGACAAAAAAGAAAATATTTAAATTGAGAGAAATGAATTGAAGTGTATTTTAAATTTTTTATTTAAAACACGAACAATTTTTATTTTTAAAACATTTAAAAAAATAGTTTTGGAAAACAACTTTTCATTATTTTAAACACAAACATTTTTTTCTCTTTTAGAAAAAAAAGAAAAAAATGAAAAACAATAAAGAAAAGGAGGGAGCCATTGGTGCATAATTGCATATTTCCAAAACTATATATGTAGAGGACAACAGAGTTATTCATTTAATGTTTGAATGACATTAGTGTAGAGAGCATTGAAGTAAGAATATTACAAATACGAGGGACAATAACACAAATTTTAAAATCGTGAAGTGTAAGAGCATCTCCAACCTTGTTTACTATATTGGCTTGCCATTTTTATATTTTAACAAGTGAATAGTGATATAGCAAGTGATATTTTGTTTCATTCTCCAACCATGGCTTGCTAATCCATTCTACAACACTTGATTTCTTATAATTTGGAGAGCTTGTTATATTTGGCAAGCCAAAGTCATTTTCTAACAAGCTTGCTAAAATTTAACACACCCATTGGAAAAGAGAAAAATAGGTTGGCTTGTTATATTAAGCCAAAGTAGGATGGTTGCTCTAACAATGCACATTTAAGTACTGTATTTAACAAGCACGAGATATTAGTACCATAAACTCTATATATAAATGAAATGCACTTTTGATACTCCCTCCGTCCCTAAATAGATTACAATCTTTTTTTCTCTCTCTTCTCGATAACTTTTGTTTGTTTACACGATTTCATCAAGTATTTGATAAAATAAAATATTCTTGTCACCTCTTAATTCGTAGAATTTTTGACGTAGTTTTTTAATATGTAATTTTTATAATTTATTGATATACCAATTTGTAAATAAAATGATTTCAAAAAGTAAGAAATTTTATTCGGTAACCCGCAATTTGTAATCAAATTGGGGACGGAAGGAGTATAATTCTAGCATTTTTTTTTTACAATTGTCAAAGTTTGGCAGTTGACTGATCTAGTTACATTTCTCGAAGCCATCCTCAGAAAGCTTAACGCCTGCGTAGTTGCGTTGAATGTACCAGGTGAATCAGTCTGTCCGTGATCGATATCGGAAAAAATGTCGTGGTTCAGATCGGCGATGAACAAAGCGGCGGAGGTTGGGACTAAAAACAACCTCACACGCACCGTCAAAAACTACGCGGACACCGTCGTCCAGCACGCCGGCCAGGCCGTTGCCGAGGGCGCCAAAATCTTCCAGGATCGTATTGTAATTTCTCAACTATCAGTTTAATCTTTCTCCAGTAGAAGTGTTTGTTGAGTGATGTCTCAATGCTTGATAAAGTGCAGTCCTGAATTTCATGATTAGTGTTTGTATTAAATGATTTGAATGATTTCAAACCCCTATTTAGGAATTTGCAATGGCTACAGAGTACAGAGTTGCTAGGGCTAGTTCACTGTCAATTGACTCAATTTTAGACTTTTTAGTGGGATAAGTTATGCTCTCTTTTAAACTTCTTGTTTAATATTTATCACTTTTGATCTTGTTAGGAAATTGATGTCTATTAGATCCTTTCTTTAAAGATTTGCATGGCACCTGACACATTAGAAGTGGTATATTTCTAACATTTACTTGTGAAATTCTTCAATGGGATACTTATTGGTGTCGGTGCTATCATCATTGTTCGGTTTGTTGACGAGGATGATCGAATGGCCTTTGCGTGTTTCCTACATCAATATGTGTTCTTTAAGCATTGTGGTCCTGTGAAACTCCACCTTATTTTTTGTCTCAGTGAGACACTTACAGAGTATTATGTTTGAGGGAGAAATATGAGCTACTGCTCATGTAAGTGCACACGATGACATGACTCAGGGTGTGTAAAAAAACAGGCAACTGTTTTGTATCAGTAGAGATGGTTCAAGTTTTTGAGTCTCTATCCTAAATAGATTAGATTCCTTCAAGGTGCTTCTTTTCCCACTGCCTCACCTCTTACAAAATTCTCCTCAAAAGGCTAGTAATGGGGCCAACAGATAAAGGAGATTGAAGTGACTGAGTAATTGACCAAAAATGATCCATATATGCACCATATCTTAAATGATTTGACCTGAATGTCATGAAGAAAAAAGTGAAGTGGCGTGAGTGTCTATTTAGCACATCTCGTGCCCGTGTGATTAGGAATAAGGTTTATGATGGTTTAATATTGATTGATTTTTTTCTTACTTATGTCCCATACTCATTCGTTACGTCCCATGATCATGTCAGGCAAATCGGAACTTCAAAAGCTTTAAACAGGCTGTTAAAAGATTGGAAGAAGCATCTGTTTCCTGTAGGGGACTAGAGCGAGTTCAGTTAATGAAGAGATGGTTAGCCGTGCTAAAAGAGATTGAAAAATCATCTGAAGGTCCCATTGATGAAAAAGAGAAGAGTAATGAGGAGCATCATCCATCAGAGGAGCCAAAAGGAAGCCCAAGAAAACAATCTCTAGTGAGTAGAAGAGTTTGATGCCATTTTTTCACATTTCTTATGGAGAAACACAAAGTTTTTAAACCAGTTCTTTGGTAATACTATGCAATACTGAATAAAACGCAAAAAAAATCTTATTATCTTGGTTTGTTTTGTTTCTTTTGTTTGATCTTGAATTCTTGACTTCATTCATTTGCATGGGAAAATTCACAATGCTCATACATGTTTAATTGGGTCAAGTGTGCCTGTTTTTCCATGGTCATATAGTTTAAGCGACCAACTGCATCAACTGTGTATGCTGTTTGAAAAACTGTGAATCACTTACCTATACTACTGTCATGGCCGACTCCTCAGTATCCTCAACTATAGTATTATGATCATTCTAATTCCAATTTTTCTATCATTCTCCAATATGAGCTCTTTGAGTATACCGTGAAGCCCTGGTACAGAATTTTATCCGTAGCAGTTTTTATTCTTGATCATCTTCCCCATTTGTCTTATTGTTCAGGTTCCTATCAGAGTTCTGATGTTGTCTTATTATTGATAGGTTTTATATTACGACTCCGAGGTGGGTGGAGAACCAATGAATTTTCGTGATGTTTTCCTTTACAGTCAAGCTTTGGAGGGAATATCAATATGTATGGTAGGTAACCAGTTTTTTTTCTTCCCAGGGTTGCAAAAGTATTGTAATTAGCTTTACTTTCTACATCTTAGGTTTATGAACAAACTGTATGCAATTTTAGATGTGAAATTTATCATTCTTTACCAAGAATGTGCCTTTTGAAGAGCTTCTTCTGCACTAAAGAGTTTTTCTTTCTCTAGATTAGGTGGCTGAATGTAATTCATTTGCCTACTATATTGCCAAGCACCAATATTAACTACATAACTTCCTCTTACATTTTTTATTCAGATTCTTGAAGCACCAAATGAAGAAGAAGTTTCTCTCCTGCTTGAATTGTTTGGGTAAGTTTAGTGATCCAATGTCCAACTTCATTGCTCGAACTTGATAGCCTTGCTTTTATAATATGCTTCATTTGTTTGAAGTATACATTTGACAACTAAACTCTTATCATAACCACCAAAGAAAGGAGAAACTTATTTTCGTAGAATGTGTTTAATATTGATGGTTTGAAGAGTCTAGCAGGTGGTCTTAAACTCATATAACTAACAAAGCACAAGGAGAATCTCCAATGATAAATTCAAATATTGTATTTATCTTTTCATCTCTTTTACGTATGATAAGACCCAATATTTGTAGACAATAAATAACAATGAATCTGTAAGTTTTAGGTCCACTAACAAAGTTTTCCACTAACCATGTCTTAGGGAATTAACGAACCTAAATATAATTAATAAAACAAATAAAAGAATCGATTTAATCAATAATTTAACAAACTCTGTATCTCCTAAACTGGATCTCTATCAGTGAGATAGCTAATTTGCAGATTTGTGGTAGCTAAACCCTTAATACATCTGTCTAATAAAATGATGAGATCTCAACAACAACGAACGCCAAGTACAACAACAACAACCCAGTTAGATCCTGTTAGAGTGCATCCTACATCGGAAGTTCAAGAGTAAAATAATCGGTATATAAGCTCTTGAGTTGAACTAACTAATTAATCGATTGGATTCAATCTTTTAATGTGGTTCAGCCCAAGTGTCTTATTTTCCAATCCAGTTACCAATACTCCATCCTAAATTCTATCAGATCTCACGAAAGTAGGGTCTGGGGAGGGTATGTGTACATAGACCTTGCCCCTATTTGAGAGTAGAGAGGGTGTTTCCAAGAGACCCCCGACTCAAGCTGCACATATAGAAGGATCGCTACAGATACATAAAGCAAAGCAGGGAGAGTAAAGATAAAGCACCAAGCACCTAGAGTAAAAAAACAAACTAAAGTAACGAAGGAAAAGTATTGCAAGCAAAACACAAATAGCACCGAGCATATAGGGCATACAAAGCACACAACAACAATACCACCCCCTAGCGGCTAGCCCAAGGCACCTACCCAACTACTCTAATTCCAGCTCTCCAAACGCTCATATCTAGAAGACCTCCTAGCCCAAGTGTAAAACTTTATTTAGAAGACCCATTCTGAAATCAGATCCTCTCGTGGAATTACTAGTTACCAGGCAGAAACTCAAAGCCCAAAATCCCAAAAGCTTTCCTCTTCTTATCTTACTCGCTTATTTTTTCATCCTCTCTTATTTTAAGTGAAGGTTGAGAACTTTTAAATCTTTACACTATAGTTAAATTTCCACTTTCAGTTATTGGCTGATGTGAGAAAATTTTGCAATTGACTTTTCCGGTTGACCAAATTTAGTTTAAGATGTCCAAAATACAGTTTAACAAAGAATGGCAGTGTTCATGAAGTAAAGGTCACTTTTGATGATTTGAATTGCACCTTGGTTGAGTTTGAAAGCATTGTAAATTGAATTTGATCAAGTTGATAGCATTTAAATATTAACCATGGAATGTGGTTATGATTGAGGCAATAAAGTGGTATTAACACAGTAAAGAGCACTGAACAACATCATTATTGTGCAGGCTCTGTCTTACTGGAGGAAAAGAAGTTCACAATGCAATAGTCAGCAGTATACAGGATCTTTCCAAAGCATTTTCAGGTTATGAAGATGAAGTACTGGTAAAGGCTGAAATATTAACTATCCTTAAAACACTTCTTTGAAGTGCAGAATTTGTTGCAATTTGTAATATTTTGAATGCTTCCATGCAGCATAATAGGCGCATAATTTTTTTTAATACTAGTGACATGCTGTGGAAGTACTGTAGACTTGTAGTAGCCACTTTATAATTACATATCTATTGAGATATCAATTATACGATTTCTCAACAAGATGCCAACATTATTGGCTATTCTATTCAACAAGACAAGTGAAACTCAAAATTACACATTATTACCTCGATTTTGTGTGCCAGGCAAAGAGAGAGGAACTTCTCCAGTTTGCTGAAGGAGCTATCACAGGGTTGAAAGTCAATGCTGATCTTGGAAGGTGTAAAAAACCTCTGATGTTCCTTGATTTCTTGTCTCCTTTGCAAACATACAAGTATAGGCTAGAACGTTAGATGCTAAATCACACTCTTGTCGTCCTCTATACACCTTGACACTAAGCTACATACTAATGCAGAATTGATGCTGAGGTTTCCCTGCTGAAGAAGAGATTAGGCGAGATAAGAGAAAAAAAGGAATGTGTTGGTGAAGTTCATGAAAAAAAACCCAAAGAGTCTGCCCCCACCATAGAGGTGAACCTGGCTGTTGCTCTTTAACAATGTTTTCCCATTCTTTCTCCTAGTGCTTTCTGCTATTTGATTATTGACTCAATAGGGTCAACCATGGCCATGTTTTTGTTTGCAAATTATATCATTTGAATAATATATATGCACATGACCTGTATGAAGTAATATATAATTTGTTTCCCCTCCAAAGGCTTTGAAGGAAGCACTTGTACTTATCCGAATCTGCTCAAAATTAGAAGCACTGCTACTGAAGAAGAAAGCTCTTAAATATGGGGATTCCCCTGAAATTCATGCTCAAAAGGTATATGTATATCACACTTGTGCTGTTGTGTATTTATATTTATTACTTTGTCTTTGGTAATTGAAATGCTTTCGTAGTGCCAGGTGGCAACATGTTTGTTGCTTATTAGTACTGCATGGTCTTGCTGCCCCGATTGGAAATGCATTTCCCATGTTACAATGTTAACTTTGATGGTTTCATTTCTTAAAAATATTTGGAAGTTTTTTAAGGTTATATATTTGTATTGTAACGTATAAAGTATACTCAATCCCTAATAGCTATTTTAAATATAGGTCTCGTCTCTTTCATAAGTGCAACTTAAAATCAACTTGTGGTTGTGTTTTATACCTATTAAAGGGTCTCCAAACATAAGTTTCTTGTTCTCTGTGCTTCTGTTTCGAAACCTTCATTTTCTAGCACTAAGAGTACAAAGACGTGCCAGTTTGAGATTAAAGCATATTTGATCAGTTATATCATATTCAACATTTTATATATTTGTCTATACACTGCTCCTTTCTGAAACTCTGTAAGAGAACTTTTCTCTGTCATATTAAAGCGCCATGAAGCAATACTTCTTATTAAAAGACTTTCCTTTTCCATATATATATATATATATATATGTATGTATGTATGTATGTATGTATATATATATATATATATATATATAATTATTTACATTTTTTAAAGCCATCACTCACAACATTTTGTTGTACATTTGTTGCTCTTTATAGAATGCAATATGCATGACAGATTAAACAACTTTTTGTCATTTACAGGTTGACAAGTTGAAGGTTTTATCTGAATCTCTTGTCAGCTCGAGCTCTAAAGCTGAGAAGAAGATTTCTGACCACAGGTGATCGATTTATGCAACTATTATAAGAGATGTGAACAACCCTTTATGTTATTTTATTTGCTCGATTCTGGTGGCTTTCCTAGTGAATGTATAGTCTTATTATGCTTACAGCTTACCTATAATCTAATGAAGTTATCATTGCTTCATTTGCTTGGTATATCTCATTGGGTCATGGTTATATGGTTCCTCCATTCCCTTTTTCATACGGATTTAGCAATACTTGAAAATTAAGTGGAACTATCTTGTATACTTAATTAGTAGGATTTATTATCCTCTCATCGTAGTAGTCACTGTATGTATTGTTTCTTGATAGTTAATCCTTAATAGTGTCCTTACGAATGCTAATTATGTGTTTGATATACTGGTTATTTGTTTGTTTTTCTTCTCTTCCTCTTTCCTAATCTCGTCAATTGAAAGAGAAGTTACTTGGTACTGACCCTTCTGGATTTTATTTTCCATTTATATTCTTGGCAGAGTGCAGAAAGAGGAAACCTTAAGATTTCGTGGTGCCAAGACCTCTGAAGCCGGTGAAATAGAAAAGGTGTTCAGCTTAGTATACATACCAATGCTTTCTAATGCAGAACTTTAAGGCGTGCAACATTTGCATGTGCCCTGATAGGCGTACCAAAAAAGAAGTGAGAGAGAGAGGGAGTATGAATGTTAATGTACTTCTGTTTAAATAGAGTAAAAGAGTCGGTTTGGGCTACATGGGGATGCGTACATAATGTTAAGTAAAAAATGTGTTTATAAGTATTATAATTGTTATTTGTACAAATAAATAACCTAAGGGGCACACCGTCCCTGGCCCTTCATGAATCTTCATTCAGGAAAATATGACATACATGTCTTCCTGTAGTGTTAGGAGGAGCCTTTGACTGTTTGTCAGATTAAACTCATTTGTCACTCAATTTTTCTCACTCCAAATAAAGTTAATTGCAATGTTTGTATTAGTTGAGGCGGTTTGCCTGTATTGCACATCATCCCACTGCGAGGCAAAAGCTTTAGTTTTCAGTTCAAATGTATATAAAATAATTACTACAAACATTATTAAAAATCACCTTGTTTTTTCTTTCTTTCTTTTTCATTGAGTACATGTTTGCGATTCACTTTAGACTTTCAAGCTAGAGCAATAATTAATCATAAGAGTAGCGAGATGAAAACTTTGTTGACTTTCTTTGTATCTATTTCTGTATTTGCTTGTGCAATTTTCCAATATCCTCTCTGTTAAAGTCATGTTCATTAATTAATGAATGAAGCAATACTTGCACTCTCAGTGGTGATTGGCATCTACTGTCTTAGATTCTGGTAACTGTAGTTCCTTTATGTATTCTTCAGGAAATAACTGCTGAGATATCAGCACTGGAGAAACAGAGAGATGAACTTGAAGCCCAATTGAAACAGGTCCTTTTTCATTAGGAAACTCTTTCCTTTTGCTTTTATGATTTTTCTGTGATGTTGATGTTTGTTTCATCATTGACATTCTCTGTTGTATTTTTCACATTGAGACCCGATTGTGTATCAATGTTTTGGATGAGATAGTGACCCACTATTTTCTTGAGCTCTGCTATACAATGTTTTGGAGTCGAATTGTGGAAGAAATATAGTTTGACTTTCAGAAGAGCTTTCTCAATTGTATAGATGGAAAAATTGTTGAAATAAAAAGATTTTATTATCTCACATTTCAGGTGAACTGTGTTTCATTTGCACATATTTATAAACTTTCCAGGTGAATATCTCCTTGGCTGCAGCTAATGCGCGCCTCCATAATGTTAGAGAAGAGAGGGACCAGTTCTATGATGCTAATGACCAGATTGTTGCACATTTAAATACTAAGGTTTTCTCATCTTCTTGCAACATTTTTTTCACTTACTTTTCCTATGCTTAATGTTCCACCAAAACGTCCTTCTACTCGATAACTTCAGGTATTTGAGTACATTTCACCTTCGTCTACAAGAATCACGTACCTAGTTGAAAAACCTTCTATGTACCAGAGAAGTCACGAGAATATACCTATAATTTTTGTTCAATCTTTTCATCCATTGGTGATTGGTCAAATGGATACTAGAGAAACTGAGTGACATAATCTAAGACCCTCCTAAAAGGTCATTTCAAAACAGGACTTTGTGTTTTGTACTCTAAAGTCATATAATCAAACAGAGCTTATATTTCAAGTAATTTGTGTAAAAGAAGGTTACAAACATGTTAAATATGATAAATTTAGTTAAACCAAAACGAATTTTAAAAAATACGTGTATGATTCTTACTGCTAACATTTGTGCATTACCGAAACAAATAATGTTTATCTTAATCAAACATGGATCCTTTTTTGGGTGGGGGGGGAGTGGAGGTAGTCTATTATGTAATTGCTACTCCCTCCATCCCATAAAAAGCTTTCACATTTTCTTTTTCGTACGACCTAAATTAAAGTTCCACTTTCCATTTATGGAAAAGTTTCTGTGGCTTATATGATTTCTCTCCATTGCACCAACTTCAATCCCACAATTACACTTTTAATTAATAACCATGCCGATTCTAGTGTGGAACCTTTTTGTGGGATGAAGGGAGCACTTGCAAGCATCCTTTGAACTTTCCCTGATAAAAACATCCACGGCTTGCTTTATTGCTAATTGTTACCTTCCATTTTCCAGTGATGAATTGGAAAGACATGAAGATTATTTTTTGAAGTTGGTGATTGAACTCCTTTCTGCTTATGAGGTAAGTGGATGGTCTTGCATAATAAGCCGTTAACCAAAGCTTTAGGATATGCAAAAATCAAGTGCTTTGGATGATACCAGTTTTTCTTGTACAGAGAGAATTAAAGCCTAATATTGATCGGATAGGAAAGTATGTGGAAAACTTGAGGAGTTTTGGCAAGGGGTAATGAAGTGTTTGTATATTATCAGTTTGTGTTGATCTGTACTCTATACATATCATATTCTTTCATATGTTATATAAACTCTCAAATTAACAAAACAGCTCAGTGATGGTGGAGCATGATGACTCAAACACATTGAACCCCCGAAAAAATCTCGAGGAGGAATACCTTGATTATGAAGCTAAGGTAATTTTGCTTCTGATTTTGTTCAAATGCTATTCAGATGTGCTTCTGGAGTCTTTGACAAATGGGAAATGTATGTTGCCTCAGCAGTCCTGTTCTTGCAATTCATGAATACATCTGTTTAACTGCAGATTATAACCACCTTCAGTGTGGTGGATAACATGAAGGAGCAGTTCTATTCTCACCAAGAAAAATTCTCCAGGTTTCCTTGTTAATGGCCTCCATCCATAAGCTGATGTCACTTTCCTTGAAAATTTACTCCTAGGGTCTGTTTGGAATACGAAATATGCTATTGAAAGAAAATAAGATGGACAATGTGTAGATTAAGAAGGAAAATGTGGGGGCAAATGAAAATGGGTTCTAACTCAATAAATTTATTACTATTAATTTTTCAAACTCATATTTAATTTAATTTTTTTTAATAAAAATACTAAGAAACCTGGACATATGTAACAAAAATTTAAAAATTAAGCACATACTGTATATCAATAGCCTCTGTTCTTACTGAGATGAAATCAATTCCTTTGTATTTTTTTCAGCTTCCTATCATTTTTGATGATCCAGACATACCCTTGGGATTCCATTTGGAACTTGAAAGATGTTAGGGAAAGAAAATATGGAGCAAAGTAGAGACTTTGGGAGGAAATAAAATGTGGGCGGAAAATTGGTTCAAACTTATTAAATATTCCCTCCGTCCCAAGTTTAAGTTCTCAGTTATTTGATAAATAAGTTGAGCCTCTTGTTTTATTTTTATGTTATTTTTAAATATATATTTTCCAAGGTAAAATCAAGCATTAAAAAACAGTTTCCTAAACATTCTTTTCTTTCTTCCGTACCAATTTCCAACTTCCAAGCATAGCCTTGATGAATAAAACTAGTTCTTGATGTGCCTTTTTTTTTCTTCAGGAAAAGTGATTCAGAAGTGAAGGAGCTTTTTGACAAGATTGAAAAGTTGAGAGCAGAATTTGAATCAATTGAGAGACCTAATCTTGAAATGGAGAATCCATGCCCAGAATCTTCACCCAGTGAAAGGCCACAAGAAAGCCTGACAAATCCTGCAACCAAATTGGCTGAAAAGGAGCAAAGTGAACCACGGGAAACCAACGTTCAGAAGAAAGAACCACCAGCTGCCAAATCGGAGGAGGTTCTAGATGCCAATGCAGAATTGGCCGAATTAGAGGCTGAATTTGGACATGTCAATAGGGATAATAACTCTGGAGAAGAGGTTGGTGACTGGGAATTTGATGAACTGGAAAGAGAGTTGAGAATGGAGGATTCCACAACCCACAAATAGAAATTTCAAAGAACTTAGTTATTATACCAAAAAAAAAAACTCTCATGAATAATCAGCAACTATATTATACTTGGGATAAATTACATTCTTAGGCCCGAGGTTTAAAGAAAAAGTTGGCCTGGGAATTGCCTTCATGTATTCTGAAATGCAGTACCGTTATTAATTTCCATGTAAATACTCAAATTACAGGAATTTCTTTTGGATATGAAAAACATTTAACTGCCAAATTTCCTGCTCAGCTAGACTCATTGGTACTTCTGTTTCTCTAAATGCAATTGCTTGTGCCACACATGGGGTTTCTTTTTCAACTTGAATGTCACTTCTATCTAGATGCAGCATTCATTTCATACATGATCTGATGAAGAGATTCAAGATAGGTTGGGTGATTCTTGATAGGGACGAAAGGACGATGTTCCTCTAATGGAAGGAGGTGCAAACAACACAAACAGGTGGGTATACGACGATCTGTGATTATGAAGTACTTTTCCTGAAATAGAAAGCTGAAATTTGCCTCTTTTCCTTTTGCAGGGCAACATAATATACCCTGGGCCTCCCAATGCTTCAAAAGTTGAACTCAAGGCCCTCAGAAAGTGGTGTTAAGGTTAAGCTCTGGTACAAAACTTACTATAATGCCAAGTGAGAAATCCGCCTGCCCTAATTTTGGCGCTATAACTTTTCGCTCTACCAGTCACACAGAGAGTAATGGATGGACTCGGGTGAATTTTCACCCGAGCCATTGCCATCTCTAAAAGGTAGAGGGAGGAGAATAAAAGTTATTTTATGGTACAATTCTTAATTAGTTCAGTAAATACAAATAAGTGCTCACCATGTCACAAGCATTGTACATTAGAGAAAACTTAAATGCTCACAAATTATAAAATTACTAATTCCTCACTCATTTACATGGGATGAACATTATTTTTGTACCTGCACTTGCATGAAAGAATTTCCGAAAGATTATAAAGTGGGGAAAAAGAGTATCTATCATCCATCCCTCCTGGAAAAGGTCTCATATTTCTTTCTTTTTTAATCACAAATTAGGGTTCTCCGGTTCTGCTTTTTTAAAAAAATGATTATATACTTCTTCCATCTCAATTTAAGTTGCATGTTTATTATTCATAGTGTCAAAATTTAACCACATTTACACTTTTTCGCTACTCATTTGATCTTTAACCACGTTTTTTTGCACATGTTTGCTACTCATTTGATAAATAATAGTCTTGTCACTTTTTATTTTGTAAAACTTTTGATGTGGTTTTTATATATATTAATTTTATTTTTAATTTCATTCAAATTTTTAAATATATTTAATTAAAATTAATTTCAGTCTCACCTTATAAACGACATGCTATTTAAATTAGAATAGAGCGAATACACTGTTTTACAACTAAGAACTATTCTACCCTTACTTTTGCTTTAACCTTTTTTTACATCTCTTCAATTTATTACACTACCAAGTGTCATATAAACTTGTCACAAGACAACACAAGGTTCTCTCATGGGGGGCTTTAGCTGAAGTCAAATGAAAAACTCTCAAATATACCGGTGTCATAATACTATTACCTCACATTAATCTATCTTTAAGGTGGGTTAAACTTATAAATGAAAGAGATGCTTTTTTCCCCAGTGACAACACCCATTTACTTGCAAATAAGTCCCACACAATGTTGTGTATATATATATATCACATTCTCCTGGCCCTCCTGAAGGTTAGGGACAAAAAAGTGTCAGAAATTTGAAAATCTTCAATAGTAAACAATGAAACAGTAGGCCATTATATCTCTCCCTCCTCTGAAACATCATCATCATCATCTTCTTCTTCTTCTTAAAGTTTTATTGAACAGAATAGTCCATTGAAGAGGAGAAGCTAAGGCAGCCATTTTGACCCTTCATCATTTCTCAGGGACTCTTTCTTTCACTGCTTCCAACCCCTTCTCTCCTCTCTTCTTCTTCATCATCACCATCTCAGATTGCATAAATCCGCTCAATGTCCGAGTTAGAAAACTCGGAGTGAGCCCAAGAGTTTCTTGAAGTACTCCTCTCTCTCTTCTTTGAGGACCGGATCTTTCTAGACCTCACCACATAGTACGTCATCGTCCCGAGCACCGCGGTCATTATGGTCCCACCCACACACGTGACCAACACCGCGGCCCACTCGAACTTCCTCCCCACCACTATATAGGACGAAGCCATGAACGCCACGGAAGTGCACACCGAAGCCAACCACATGAGCTTGTTTATGATCTCCACCACCCTCCTCTCAGCCTTCGTCTCCCCCCTCACTAGCGTGATCTGGACCACCACCACCGCTAGGGAGGTGAAGAGCGCGATGGCGTTGAAGATGAAGAAGATCTGGAAGGAGGTGTGGGCCACAGCGACCGCCATCCCGTTGTCGTCGTCGCCGCCGGGGACGGTGAATATGGCGGCGAACGCCACCGTTGCGAAGAGGACGGCCACCACCGTCACGGAGTTGGTGGCGTTGTTTATCCCCTCGCGGTGGAGTTTCCTCAGCTCTTTGGCGATCCCGTAGACATTCTTGTTGGTCTTCATGGTTTGTTCCAGCTGAGTGTGGACATCTTTCCTGATTTGGCTCACGGTGTTCCGCAGTTCGTCTCTTGGTTGGTTCAACTCGTTGGCTCGCACCGCTCCGTAGCGGCAGAGGCTATGCTTTATATCAGAGGACTCTTCTGAGAGGGGGAGGTCTTCTGCAATGTCTAGGGCTGTTTTGTGGTCTCTGGTCAGTGCGTTGACATTCATGTCGGGCAGACGGAGTAACTCATTCACAATCTGCATTCAAGTGGAGGAATGTTTTGAGCACTTGAAAAGATAACATGAGCTTATCAAAGATTCATAAATGTAGTTTAATGAAGATTTAAAAGGGCAACTAACAAATGATGATTTTAAAAAATGGAAAAGCTTTTAAGAAAGAGCCTGTTTAGGAAGGGCCATTTGGGGCTTTGCCCCCAAAGGAATCCCTCAACAATTGTTGGGGTGGGAAGTCGAACTCATGACCTCTTGTTGGCACTTTGCATTCATAACTCACAACACTTTTCGGTTGTGCCAAGCTACAGGAGTTAAGAATAACACCTAGTCTTTAGTACAATGTCTAAAGCAATACAAACCCTTTCACTTAAAGAGTGTTAGGAATATTTGTCGGAAGAAGCATTTTGGTATTGATTTCTCCGGTTTACTATATATACATACATGTGTGTGTGTGTGTGAGAGAGAGAGAGAGAGGAAGTCACCTACATGTTGGGAACTCATAAGAAAACAGAGCTTTACTATATGTATATACCAAATATGGAATATATCCTAGATGAATGTTATTAGAGTAATTTACCTAAATAGGACTAAAACATAATGACTTTCTCAAAATAGGACCATATGTTTTTATTTCCCAATGTAGGACCATTGGTCATTATCTATTAGTCATTATTCAACTAAATGTCCAGCATCACTTGGACATTATTCTTCTTACTAGTCATTATTAAGTCCTATTTAGGTAATAAAAAAGTTTAAGTCCTACATTGGGAAATGACTTATATTTTAGTCCTATTCAGTGCAAATTTCACATGTTATTTTATATTCTTTTCTTAATTTCCTAACAAAGGGCCCGTTTGGAAAGAGTTTTTCATACAAAAAAAGTAGACTAGGGGTGCATTAAATGCAGCTCTAAAACATAATACCAGGTCTGTCAAATGCTAGTTTTTGCTCTTTGGAAATAAGAGATCTTTAATTCAAATAACAACC